AAGTACCGCCGTTAAAGCACCGGCAATCATTCTGGCAGTTACGACCCCATTTGCCATCCGGACATGCTGGAAATATTACACTCAATTGTATTTGGAATGTAGAAACATAATGTAAGCCTACGTTGTAGTTGTATGATGTAAGATGTCTGAATCTGAGTACATTGTAAATGTTTGATGAGTTATTAGTTGTTTAATCAAACACAAAACTCTTTGGGTAATGAAATATGACACCCGCCAAGCTAAAATGTTCGATTTTATTTGGCTTCACCATATTTGTGCTTTCACTTGGAATGCGGACTAAGAATAACAGCAATTCGAGCCGTCTAGCAAACCTTTGTTTTCGCTTGACCTAGAAAGTATTTCTAATATGCATAATCGATTACCTGATTGACCCGCTTTCCTCTATTTAAACATCTATTAAACTAACAAAATAAAACTATTATTTTTTTTATTAAAAAAACACTGATATTCTTTATCGTTTATGCTATTTGAAAGTTGTTTTTAGGAAATTCCATTTTTGCTTTGCTGTACTGTACACTTTAAATAATTTAATGAGACGATTTCGTGTGAAAGGAAACAAAAGAACAACCTGCGGTAATGTTTTGAAAACTACGCAACTAGAAGTACAAAATATAGCTTGAGTTGCAATAACGCGGAAAATGCCAACTATGCATTAGTTATTTATAAATTTTCAGGTTGTAAGTTGGACAAATATCAAATAGAATCGGCACTTTTTAGTATTCAAGGATTACAAGATTTTGATAAAGGTAAATTATTGGGAAAATGACAGTTACGGCTTTTTAGATTAATTTATTCTGATTACTAAGAAACTTAGGTGGTAGGTACCTAGCTATAAATACAACTAAATAACAGATTAATGTAATTAATCCGATCTCTATAAACTTTAACCACAGAGATTTACGTAAACAGTGATCGTCGCTTGTCAACACCGTCGTCTTTTGTTTATATGCCAGAACCAAGTGAACCGCAACAAATACTATTGCAAAATCCAAAATACTCATCGTTTAGGTTAATACGAAGACCACTTTTCTGTATTGTGTAACAACTAAAAAATTGTACACACAGTTTTTTTTTTTATCTCAGTTGTAAAAACAATAAATTAAGTTAAACCTGTATACTGAAATAACTACTACTACTCACAAATAAAGTATCTACTACACACATAATTTGAACAAACAAATTGCTTTTGTCAACATATAAACAGACTGCATCAGACGGCTCGAATAACAATTGTTTTTAAATCCAATTACGTTACAGACAGTCGTAAAATTGGCGTCATTTGTATTACAAGAGCATACGTTGGGAGTTGTCGAGGGTGAAGGGGGAGCGGAAGG